AAGTTAAAATTATAAACTTATAACCATTAACAACATAAGGATTTTATTTTACTAAGAGTATATTGATTTATACTTTATGATTTGCGCAAAAAAGAATCCATTGACTCAAGTTCGATGATAGATACAAAAGAAGAAAAGAACTAGCTGCATTTTGATAAATAAAGTATTAAAATTACTTCTTTTTTTTTTTAATGTTATGATGGACTCAAATCTCATACTTATCAACCTTTATATAAAAAGATTTTTATAAATTATTTTATTTATTTATTTTTTTTGAATGCTGAGAGTGAACTTGAATCTCATATTTATCAAATTTAATATGAAAGTTTCTTTTATAAAAGAAATACAATTAAATCATATAAATGTTATTAAAATTACTTTATTAAATCATAACAACAAATTAATTACTATGTTGCATGCATGCTTTATGTCACATCACTTAACAACATTTTTATTAATTTCAAGCTGATTTATACGAAAATTTAATGGCTGCTGGCTGTTTCTGCTTTATATATTGCCGATGGTTGTTCTAGATTAGTATTCAAGAAATGATAGCAGAATATTTTATAAATATTCCAAAGCCTCTTGATTATTCACTAATCATAACCCCATAATCTATTCACAATTTAAAAACAAAGCAACTTGACAAATTACAAATTAAAATTATATCAGATTGGCAAAATCCACAGCAATGAAATAAACTATTTTAATTAATCGTTTCAAGTTTCCAATTTTATTAATCATGCAACAACAAAACCAAGATATTTCAACTTTTAATTCAGAGAACACAACAAATATAATTATAAAAACAATCTTATAAAAAAAGAGGGGTTTTTTAAATATAGAGACAAACTCAGTAGACTTGAACAGCACAATATACGTAAATTAGGAAAAAATCAGAAGAAAGCTGATCAGCAAGCGACATGATCTTTTTTATCGTAAAAAAGAATGGGCAAGTTAAGCCCTTGTAACAAGTTTATGAGATGTTGATACACGAAAAGAGAAAATTACTAGTCAATGAAATACCGTTTAACGTGGTGCTGACTCTTCAAAAGACAAGTAACAAATTGCCAGTAATCACACCTAACAGCAATAAGACAATCTGTTTCAATTATAAAGGTTGTTTTTTTGAGTGGTTTGCTTGGTGGAAGAAGAAAATTAACAGGTGTAGACATGTTAGTTACCCCACTTAAAGTTCTCAACTACTTGGAGTATATACTGAGACGAGCGTGTATCAAGGTCTGCATCAGTTGTATAAACTAAAGAAATTCGGAATTTGGTTTTGATTCCGCACCTATAGCTGCACCATTATTTCTGTCAGCATTCTAGGTTACTATTCTAAAAAGAAAAACACTCACCAGTCGCTGCCTTAGGTGAGACCTGGGAAGGGGAGCTAATAGATTTAGACATAGATAAATTTGACTAGGTTTGCAAAGTTGTGCAATTTGTATCACTCGTTACTATTCAATAAATTTGAAATATGGTTTGGAATCTTATCTAAGAATAAATTAAAAGATGTAAATATTTCAGACACCCCATGAAAGTCGACCGAAAAAAAACGACATCCCATTGAAGTTCTCAACCATGACCTTAACAAGCTCGCCAAAACCCTATTTTTCAATCTCTCATTTTATTAAATTTGAAGGTTTTAGTCTCTCATTTTATATTATAACATTTTTAGCCTTTCACATTACTAGAGTTATAGGTTTTAACTCATCATCTTATACTATAACATGTTTAACCCCACTTATTAAAATTGAAAAAAATAACACTCATTTGTAACATTTTGTTAGTTTTATTAACTAACTATTAAATTTATTAATTAACTATCAGTTGATTGTTAATTGTCAAAAACTTTCTTTCAACTAACAGAGTTAATAAAATTAATTTTATAATATTTCGTTAATAATTGACTATTAGTTGACTGTTAGTTGATAGAAATCTACTTTCAACTAACAGAGTTAACAATCAGTATAAAATGAGGGTTATTTTTTTATTTTAATAAATGATAAATTAAAACCTATAAATCTAATAAAATAAAAAGTTAAAACTATTATATTATAAGATAATAGATTAAAACCTTCAAACTTAACAAGATGAAGGGTTAAAAATAGATTTTCGTCACCCAACTCTGTATCACTTGTTTCAATTTAAAGAATTTAAAATTTGATTTCGAGTCCGCACATCCATTGCCCTTTTTTCTGGTGGTAAAATCCAGACACCCAGTTCTGTACCATTATAATCGTTTCTTTTGGCAATTTTTGAAAAAATTTCGTGTAGTCTATTTATTAGACTCTCTATCTTGATTAAGTAAAAGCTTGATTTTGAGTTTTATATTAATAAAACGTTATAATTAAATTTATTATATATGTATTAAGGTTTTTTAATAAAATCCATAGCATCGTTAATGCAAGTTTACATTTAAGATAATAATTAAATTGTTATTATTATTATTATTATTATTTGATTGCAGTTAAATTGTCATTAATCAAACTCAAAAAATTACTTTTTTTTTATTATTTTAGATTGTATAGTAAA